TGTTACAATTTAAAGTCATTCTACTGAAAAAAAAAAGAGAGGAAATTTGAGATTTTTGAGATGACGAAAAGTATTTTTAATTTTAACATGAAAATTACTTTCCACACGGAGTATTTAAACAAATACTCGATATATACATGGACAAATCTTTATTTTATTTTATTAAAAATACTTCTCTAAGAAATATGACTTTTTTGTATGTGAAAGATTTGTAATACTAACTGAAAGACTGCCAAATGTTGTGAAGATATACCCAATATATTTAGAGTTATAAGTATTAAACTTATAAAGACTTTAAATGAGTACAAATACTCATGTGACTCAGTCAAGTTGACCAATCTTGTACCGAGAGGGTTAACAGAACCACCCAATTAAAAATTATACTTTTTTTATGTAACACCAGATACATGAAAGTTGAACTTTTCTTTTATCTTTTTATGGAACAATTTATGTTGACAGAAGATGCAAAAACTATGTTTTAGCAATTAAAAAAAAAGATTAATGTTTCAGTGGTTAGATTTTAAATGAAAAAAAAAAGGAATGCTTGACAATATTCCAACAGTCAGCCAGTGAACAAAATGTGCTATTAGTCAGAGGAAATAAAATCTTACTTTGGAGGGCGTTCAGGTTTTCCATCATAACGATCTTTTAATTCTTTTTCCGCTTTACTTAGAACATTTTTAACAGGGTTAGGTTTAAAGTCTGGATGGGATTGAAGGTAACCTGCTACATCCTCCTAGGAAGAAAATACAAAAAACTTTTTATTTATTTTGGAAATTGAAATATCAAATATATTCTTTTATTAAAGAACTATTAGCAACAATGGGATAGAACTACTAAAAATAAATATGAAACCCAATCTAGTATTTGATTCACCACTTGTCACTGAGTTATACTGGTACATATTCTTCAAATCCTATACAATCACAGGTTCACTGTGGTAAGTAAGAATCACCATACATATAATGAGATTAAATATTCCTCAAAATATTTTCCAAGAAATAATGAGTGAAAATTCTTAAAATTTCAATTGGATTATAGATATACCATACAATATGCTAAACAAATGGAACTTAATTTTAAAGACTTAAGAGAATTGATCATATTGTGCTTTTAACAGGCTCAATAATATACTAATATAATCCTCTAGAATTATCAAAACTAAGATTTAGCTTTCAATGAAACTCCAGATATCTTGTTAACCCTTCTAGTACCATAAAGTATTGAACAAAAAATGCACTTGGGCTAAGTGAAAAAAAAACAAACTATGGGAACAGAATGTTGGTAAACAAAGGGTTGCAAGTCACCATATCTTATTTAAAATTAATTTATCTTTCATTCTGTTTTGTTCTCTCCAAACATGTTATGCTATTCTAAGCTATTCATTGCACAACAGACTTTACTACATCTAGTTACAAAACACACAATATGAAACAAAATGTTTCCACTGAACATAAGATTATCAAGTGGACTACAAAGAGTGTGTTTTATAATCCTTATAAAAAAAAAGATGCTTATAAACGAAAACTTTCTTACAGAAAATTTTTGTTCTTCCTGGACTGCTTTTCTTATCCATTTAATTCGCTTGCCATCTGAGAGAGCATTCCACTGTTTTCTAGCTTTCTCCAATGAATCTTTCTTTTCAAGCTATAAAATAACAGGTATTAGCAAATACGATATACAAAAACTATTTAAAGTTTTACTTTTCAAAATTATTTTAGCTTTTTGTAATCTCCAACCTACATGAATGGGTCTAAAATTTTTCTTTGTTCATATCTGTAAACTATTTGGATAATAGAACAAGTTTAACCTACACGAGATATTAATTTTTGAAAACTGCACACACACGAGCTTTAGAAACCTTAACTTACTAAAACTGTTATAAAAATATTCCTTCCCTTTCTCCTGTTTTTAAGAGTAAACCAACAGTGTTTCTACATATAGTTTTCTTTTGCTAGACAGATATGACTATAGTACGTTGTACCTAAGAATTTTGACCCTTTAACTGCCATGGGTTTGGAATTTTGTACCAAAATAAAGAAAGGGTGTTACTAGTGTTTACATCGGGTACCCACCCGACAACTTTATTACCCGCTTCCAAAATCACTACCCAGATCCATCAAAGCAATGACTAACATTTAACTGCATGCATTCTTTTCATTTTTTTTCTTGGCATTCCAGCTTTCCAAGGTCATCTAAGTGTAAATATTGAAAATGGAATGTTTTGCACATGTTAAAAAATAAAAAAGAATTCACCAAAACTTTGCTGTGTGTATTTTGTTTACCATGCATTCCTTTTTCTCAGATAGTACCCAAGCCTTATCCCCACCAGTGATAGTGACAGTTTACTGGATACAGTGTACTAAACACATAATCTTATGCAGTTTTCAGCTTGCATACTGAGGCTTGCAATGTTATGCACAAAGCCTGTATGCAGTGCAGCAAACCACTCCATGAGTAATGTACACTCGACTCCAAACATGCACCTGTCATCGTGTGTTCGTGAACTACATTGGTTGATACGGTTTGGGTTATACTATAACTCCACCATATTGGATTGATCTCCTAATCATATAAACTGTGTATCAGTGACAGAAAATGGAAGCATGCGATTGGCCAAGCAATAATATAAGACTGTGATACTCATCTAAAGTTTGATATAAAATATCTAACTCTAAAGTAAAGGAGGGACCGTAAACATTGGAACTAATGGCAAAGTAGTAAAATGGTTTTTGTCATGGTTACATAACTAACGTAAGCACGTTTACTTATGGCTTGCAAGTTACAACTGCTCTGTAAGCCACAAACCCTTGCTTGTGTCTAGGATGGAAAAATTAAAAATGACACAAAATACAGGGACACTGAACATACAGGAGAAAATCAGCATGACAGACAGTACAACAAGCAGTAGGCTAGACTCTAAATATAATTGCTTCACTTCAGTTTCATGATTTTTCGTAGAACTTTTTCCTTTAGTTTTAAACGTTTTTATACCAGCATTTAATCTCCTTCCCCGTGACTTTAGTTTTCCAAATTCTAGCGAATTTACAAGATTTCAAATATCGGTAGTCCAACCCTAGGCTAACAAGTCTTTCAGTTCCCTTTGACCTTTAACAGTAAGTAAACTAACATGTACCCAGGTTGGAAATTTCTATCCAGTGTAAACACTAGATGTTACCTCTTCAAACTTCCAAAAGTTTACAAGTTTCAATTTTCAGACATGAATTAAATGAAATAATAAAACATGTATTTATGTCTTTTACTGTGTATCTAGAAACAAACCTGCCCCTGGCAGAGTTGTTGATCTATAACCATGGTAATGAAAGAGTTAGTGATATTTTATTTTACAAGTCTTTTGTTCACAGATAAATCAATGCCCATATAGTATACATAAATATAAATTCTTGAATGCAAAAGAAAATACACAAATCTTACTCCTGCATATTCACTTCTTTTCATTCGATCAGCAAGAAACAGGTTGAATGGAGTCTGGGGTTTTGCTGGTCCTGCATTGCCAGAAGAGGGATGTTTTGAATCTGTCACTGGAAACTGATCTGGATGTTCTTTTCTGTAAGATCAGCATAAAACTTAAAATGTCCAAAACACAACAAAATCTAATTCTGTGAGTGACAAAGAAACCCAATATTTAGTCCAGAAAATTCAAATATTTTTTCCTGATGGATAAATCTCAAACAGTTATGTGAACCTTCTTGGAGTAGGTATTTCTAAATGTTAGAAAAACATTTACAGCATAAGGTAGGATAACTAATAAGCATTTTTAGACCAAAATTATTTTAACCAACACTATTTTTTGGAAGGGTAAACAATTTATTTTTGTTGTTGTTAGCATGACAAGCTCCATTTGGTAAAAAATAATTAAACATCTTGCTTTAAATCACATACACACACAAAACATTACCCAAAGAAAAGGATTAATTTGTTAGTTCAAACAATTTTAATAAGACAAAAACTTATTACACAGACATGTGTTGTTGTTGAATATAATCTACTTTGTGTCAACAGTTTTATTATAATTTACTTTCATTGTAGAGCCACTGACCTGTTATAATGGGGTAAAATAATGAACAAAATGCCAATAACTTTACATACAACAGTATTCTACTGCAAGATGAACATACTTAAATTTCTCAAGCTCCTGTTTGTAAACTTCATTTTCTTTTTCATAGCTCTCTTTGTATTTTAACTGAAAAAAAAATAAATCCATAATTATTTGATCAAAAATTATCACCTTACTTCATTAAAGCAGCTTAATATAAAACAAAACTGAAATTATATGACAGATTAATTTCAGTGAACAATGCCTTGAAATAAAATTAACTCGTGTTGAATAAATTTGAAATACAAGAATCTGACTATGTATGCAGTTTCTTACTTTTTTCTTCTCTGGTAGTTGCTGAAACTTTTTTGACAATAGCTTAGCAAGGTCTGTCATGGACATATCAGGATGTTCACGGCTGTATTTCTGTCGTTTTTCCAAAAAATATCTGAAGTAAGGGGTCAATGGCTTCTTTGGCATTTCAGGATGTTTCTGGAAAGTAGTTACAAGTTGACAAATTAATATTGTTTTAATTACTAAAAAAAATTCCAAATGCTCGAAAACACCTATTAACTTAACTACTTCAATAACAACAAATGGGTTTTAAACCAAACTTAACTACTGTATCATCATGATATGACATACATTTATATGGACAAAATAATTCTTGTATGTCTCCTGTGACTGTTTTAAGTGATATATCAATTGTGTATTGGGAAAAATAACCTAATGATTAACTTACAAATAATTATTATAAGGTGTTAAGCCAAAATGTATGTTAGTGAAAAAAAATGGACCTATTGCAAAATCAGAGAGTTAAATTATTCTCTCTCTTTTTTTTTAAATAACAGAAGTCACTCACTCTTCATCATTATCATGTAACAGATAAAGGAGTTTAAAACTAGTTTTATGAATGACTAGAGTTATAATCAATTTTTAAATGTGATTAGGTAATAAATCTATTATTTAAAGGTTGAAAGTGAAAACCAAGAAATACTTTACTCGATCTTCACAAGTAGTTATCTTCTCAGTTGAACTTACCTGCTTCTTAGATGATGAAAATGATGACCATGGGTGTTTTACCCATTCCTTGGCATCATTTACCATGTCAGTAAGTGTTCTAAAGCGACGTAGCTGTAAAGACAAGGAATGTAACAAATGTTAAATTCTAATTTATAAGAAATATGTAATGTAGTTTAGAAATCACAGCTTATTTTTATCAAAGATTTTGAAAATAAACATATATATATATATATATATATATATATATATACACACACACACACTAATTAATTTAATTTATTTACCTTC